TAAAATAATCGAGATATTTTATTTTTACCAAACACCTGAAACTGCTTAACTTTAAAGTTAAGCAGGTTTTTGGCCAAAAAAAGCAATCCCAAACGGGGCCTAAGACCGACTTTCAACTCAATGCTTGTGCTATCATCTTCCAGTTAAATCACATCGCCTATAGGGCATATGCCCCTGAATACGTTGTATGTACGAATTTTTCTTAATAAACCCTAGACAAATTGCTTTTTTATTTTTTTTTATTTTTTTATTTTATTTTAAGAATACAAGTTATAGTCTAAATGATCAAGGATAATGAGATTTCTCACACGCATACACTTCCAAGGTATTATAAGGGTTCGAATCTGAGACTATTGATATGCAAGTCAATATCCTCTTTCATTGGGCCTTAAATCAACAAAGAAACTATATAACAAGTTCTTAAATCTTGAACATTTAAAAGAACAAGTTCTTAATTTAATCCAAATCTTTGTAGCCGGTTAAGAAGAGAAGGGAGTTAGGTCGATTAAAAGTAATAGAAAATTGTTGAATTTTAACAAAACTAAAAATGGGTTTGTAATTTGTAAACTTTCACGAATTCAATCCAATTGAAAACTTGTCTTAATTCATTCGACCTCAAGATTGTTACAAACAAAATTGTAAGGGTCCATGGATTATCCATATATTATAAAAATGCAAACTCCCATGAATGTATTAGTACAGAAAATCTATAACCAGAAAGTGAAAATGATGCTTATTAATTTCACGAGTGAGACTAACAAGGTCACTATAGTTGATTATTTCAAAATTTAGGATGCTTTGAATTTTAATTGGACACTTGCTTCCCTTCTTCTTTGGAAGGAAGTATTCATACTTCTTGCAAATCATATCCTGACACATATGCAAAAATAATTTATAAAAAGTACAAAAAGATAATCTCTACATACATCAAACTCTAATTGACAGAAAAGTAAAGTGCGAGTTTTTACTTTTAAGGCAAGTATTTTTCGTTTTATTTTTTAATACAAAGCGATGTTTTTAACTTTGATATGCGACATGCAGTTTGGTGAAAAATCGATATGAACCGTAAAGTGTAACAGTGCAGTTGTTTTTCTTTACAAATTCATATGATTTTACAGTGTAACCTTAAAAAAAAAAAAAAACAAAAAAGAAAAAAAAAAGGTGGTGGTCCTGGAAATATCGGCGGTGATATGGATTGAACAGTCATGGACCCCATGCACAGTGAGAAAAGCCAGTTCACCACGTTCCCCCTTCCTCAACCCTCTTCATGTGCTAGCTGACACAATTCACAATTGACGTTCTCTTCCTTCGTCTTCGTCTTCTTCTTCTTCTTCTTCTTCTGTATATCCTCTTTTATATAATTCATTTCTTCCCTTCAAAACTCACTAAATAAATACGCCCCACTCACTCACTCACTGAATCTCTCACTAACTCGCTCAGCCAAACCTTCCCTCTCTCCCATGGTTGCCCTCTCTTCCTCACCATCGCCATGTCCTCCCACTTCTCCTTCTTCCTCTCCAGGTTCATCTACTAATTACTAATTACACCTCCATACATAATACCTGCTTCATAGCTTAATTAATTTAGTTAATGAATTGCTTACGTGTACATGCATGTACATGCAGGTGGACCAGAGCTCTCCGGCGCCAGAGCTCTCGAGCCGACGACACCGACAACAGCAGCAACCTCAACAACATCGAAGACATCATCAACGCCCCAATCTCCAACTCCGTCGAGTGCTACGCCTGCACGCAGGTTGGGGTCCCAGTCTTCCACTCCACCAGCTGCGACGGGGCCCACCAGCTCCAATGGGAGGCCTCCGCCGGCTCTTCCCTAGTCCCCATCCAATCCCGTTCCGACCTCAAAAAGGGCCTCTCCCGCGGCCGCCCCGCTGGCCCCTTCGGCCATGTCCTCGACCCCCGCAGCAAGCGCGTGCAGAGGTGGAACCGCGCCTTCCTCCTCGCGCGTGGGATGGCGCTGGCAGTCGACCCGCTCTGCGTCGCCGGGCTTTCCATCGCCCCCGCTGGATGGACGGCGGGCGGGCGGCCATCGTCACGGTGCTGCGCACGTGCGTGGACGCCGTGCACCTCTGCCACCTGTGGCTTCAGTTCCGGCTGGCGTACGTGTCGCGGGAGTCGCTCGTTGTCGGGTGCGGGAAGCTCGTGTGGGACCCACATGCCATCGCCTCCCACTACGTGCGGTCCCTCAAAGGCTTCTGGTTCGACGCCTTCGTTATCCTCCCCGTTCCCCAGGTGAGTGAGTCCCCCGTGCCTCTACCTTTGTCTTTGCCTTTCGTCATCTTCGAACACTCATGTCTTTTATCTAATTCCCAAATTGCCCTTGAGTCATTGCATCAATTAATCAATGGATAAAATTCAATTTTGGTTTGGTGGTGTTGATAATTTTTGACTTGGGTTCAGAAGTGTTTATATACTCTCGCCACTTCCTTTCTGCCCTTTCCTTTCCTGTAAAATAATTTGTTGATCAGAAGTTGCAAGGTTTGTTTTCTTGGTACCGAATTGCGGAGAAATTGGAATATTTTGGCTGAATAGTCTCTTCTCTCTCTCTCTCTCTCTCTCTCTCTCTCTCTCTCTATTCTTGCAGGCTGTATTTTGGCTGGTACTTCCAAAATTGATCAGAGAAGAGAAGATTAAGGTGATAATGACCATTCTTCTCTTAATTTTTTTGTTCCAATTCCTCCCAAAAGTGTACCACAGCATCTGCTTGATGAGAAGAATGCAGAAGGTCACAGGCTACATTTTTGGCACCATTTGGTGGGGTTTTGGCCTCAATCTCATTGCCTACTTCATTGCCTCTCACGTAAGTAAAATGATCAAATTACACTCTTCATCTTAAATCTCTATTAGTTCTTGATGCTTAGTTAAAATTTCTCCTCCTTTTCATGCTTTCAGGTTGCCGGGGGGTGCTGGTATGTGCTCGCGATTCAGCGCGTAGCTTCATGCCTAAGGCAACATTGTGAATTGAGTGCCAACTGCAATCTCTCTTTGTCTTGCTCAGAGGAAGTTTGCTACCAATTTTTGTCACCGGCAGGCACGATGGGAAATCCTTGTGGAGGCAACACAACAGCAAGTGTGGTGAGAAAGCCCCCATTGTGCTTGGATGTCAATGGAACATTCAATTATGGAATCTATCAGTGGGCTCTCCCGGTCATATCTAGCAACTCACTGGCTATTAAGATCCTTTATCCCATCTTTTGGGGTCTAATGACTCTCAGGTATCTTGTTCAACAAGTAAACTTTTCAATTGGAGGTCTGCTTTGCTTCAAATTCTTGGACAATATATCTAATTGTGTCCCTTTTCTCTGTATCAATTGCAGCACCTTTGGCAATGATCTTGAACCTACAAGTCACTGGCTAGAAGTTATTTTCAGCATATGCATTGTGCTCAGTGGCTTACTTCTCTTCACTTTGTTGATTGGGAACATTCAGGTGACTTGCAACATCAATAATAACGTAACATTTTCTTTTTGGATGCTAAGATTTTTTAAGGCCAAGTCTGACTATGAGGACTTGACAATGGTGCAACAAAGGTATTTCTGCACGCGGTTATGGCAAAGAAGAGAAAAATGCAGCTGAGATGCAGAGACATGGAATGGTGGATGAGGCGAAGGCAGCTGCCATCCGGTTTGAGACGAAGAGTGCGCCATTATGAAAGGCATAGATGGGTTACAATGGGGGGAGAAGATGAGATGGACTTGATCAAAGACTTGCCTGAAGGGCTCCGAAGGGAAATTAAGCGCCACTTATGCCTAGACCTCATAAAAAAGGTAACAGGAAGTAGCATATTCACATTCACAATTATATGATACACACAGAACATAATTCATAACTTGTATTATTTGATTATATGCAGGTTCCCCTGTTCCACAATTTGGATGATCTTATTCTTGACAACATTTGTGATCGAGTCAGGCCACTGGTTTTCTCTAAAGATGAAAAGGTACCAACTTCATCATCTGCATATAGTGATTCAATTTCTACCCTTTTCAATTTACATGTCAAATCACATCATTAACATCCAAGTAAAACAGATAATTAGAGAAGGAGACCCTGTTCCGAAGATGTTATTTATTGTGCGTGGACACATAAAGCGTAGCCAAGGCCTAAGCAAAGGCATGGTGGGAACCAATGTGCTTGAACCAGGAGGGTTTCTGGGGGATGAGCTGCTCTCCTGGTGCCTTCGCCGGCCATTCATAGACCGCTTGCCAGCCTCATCTGCCACGTTTGTTTGCCTTGAATCAACAGAAGCATTTGGCCTCAATGCAGATGATCTGAGATACATCACAGATCATTTCAGATACAAATTTGCCAATGAGAGGCTCAAAAGAACAGCAAGATACTACTCTTCCAATTGGAGAACTTGGGCTGCTGTGAACATACAATTCGCTTGGCGCCGCTACAGGCTGAGGACTAACAGAGGTCCTGTGATCCCTGTGGTGCAAAATGGAGGCACTGAGCAGAGGCTGTTGCAGTATGCTGCAATGTTCATGTCACTTAAGCCACATGACCACCTTGAATAATTAGCTTTATATAGCTAATACCCTATTTAGGCAAAAAAAAATCTTGTTTATGTAGAAGAATAAAATTATTTGGACCACATTTTCAGACAGTGTTCAAGACCATTTACTCTAGTTACACCCCAATTAAAGAATTGGTCTGAAAATGTGGTTCTATGTAGCATTAGTGTATGCAATTAAAAATTTTCTCTAATAATATCATCTTTAAATGGTAGTGTTTGATGTATCATGAATGAAATGACTGTCATCTCTAAACTATAAACAATTCGTTTAAGATTCTTATTATAAGGGCTTATAACTCAAGTAGTTAACAAATTTGTGATGAAGTTGGCTATCCAAAGGATAAAAACTTAGTTGCAAGTGCAACGTGGATAATACTATTTTGCTATATTCAGTCAATAATGTTATTTCACGTGAAAGTATTATCACACATGTCATAGCATTATTGGTCAGGATTACAAAATAGTGCTGTCCCCATTTTATGAAAGTCTTTCTCCTATCCAAGGACCCATCCACATTAATTTTCCGTCGTCTTTTTCCTTCTCCGGTCAGGCTTCACAAGTGTAACTAACTTGGTATTTGTACGACATGTTATCCTTTTAGCTGAGTAGTACATAAACAATAAAGTGCATGTCGTTTACTGAAGGGTAAAGATGTCCTCGTGTCGTAAGCGAATACAAGCCATACATCACTGGTAAACAACATCATATGTTATTTAGCTCTTTTGGAGATTGAGAGAAAAAAAAACATGACACAGCAACTTTCCTCTTTGGTCCCACAAAAAACTACGGAGTTTCATGGAAAATGCTAGACTTACTACATTTTTGTACCACATTGTATACTCCTCTCTAATAGAAGTAGATCTCATTATATTGATGAGCTCCACTTCTATTAGAGAGGTAGTATACAATGTGGTATAAAAATGTGGTAAGTCTAGCATTATCCAAGTTTCATTGTCACGGTCATAGCAATTCACCCCTAATTTTCTTTACTTTCCATTTCATTGTGAAATTGCTTCAATTTAATGACTTATTATTTACAAACGACTCAAGATTATGCGGGCATGGAACGAGTACAATGCATTGACCAATTGACCAACTAGCGCCAATATAATGTTAGTAATATACAAAAAATGCATATTTGTGTGAAAAAAAAATGGAAAAATTGTACAGATTTTAAATGAATCATTTAAAATTTTATGGGACACTATTCCTCCAATTGCAAGTCGTTACTTACTTATGGTCATATACAAATATTTTTCCTCATTCGAGATTTCGTTTTCTCCTTCTGTTTTCTTTTTTGGTGGGGATAATCTGCCAAAACAAATGTAAGCTCAACCTTACTAGGTTCAGAAACTAGTAGCCGTTATCAAATCCCAGCCAAACAGAGCCTAAGAATTTCAGTTAGGCCAGAAGAGTCCCCAGCGCCCAAAATTCCCGCCAATCCCAACGGTCATAATCAAAAGAGCCTCCTTTATGTCCTGATACATACACATTGCCCTAAGTTCTCGCCCAATTTTGCTCCAAATTTCATTTTAGCACAACAATTTTGTTCTAAATTTGGGGCTGAGAAACCCAGCCCCCATTTCCACTCCAAATTTAGCTCAACTTTCCAACCCCAGTCAGCTTCTCTCTGCCCCTATCTCTCTCTCCCTTTCTCAACCAACGAAAAATGGAGGTCATCATCGCATCCCAGCCACCTTGACCCCTACATTTTCTTTTTCCTTTCCCAAAAGCTCATCCTAGGGTTTCTTCCCCCAATCTTTCATTTTTGGGGGTTTTTCATTTTTTTGCCCTAGAATTTGCTTCAGCACTTGAAGACCCTTCAACCCAATTCATCACAAGCTTCATGTTCAGCTCTGCAGGTACTTATTTTGTGTGTGTGTGTGTGTGTGTGTTTAAGCAAGATTGGTAATTCTTTCGGTGGTTGCTGATGAATGGTGATTTGGTCACGTAGCATAGTACTCACAAGTAAAAATGGGGTTGAAGTTTTCAAGGCAAGTGCCTGGGAAGATGGAAAGCCTGACCATACAACACAAACTGATCAATTGTCTGAGTAAAAGCTTTTACATCCGTAACTTGGTGTCGAAGCAACGGAGGCGAATGCTTGTTGCTGGTTATGATCTTGACATGACCTACATCACGGATCGCATATTGGCAATGTCATTCCCTGCAGAACGAATGCGGGCAATGTATCGTAATCCACTCTGGCAGGTCAAGTCTGTGCTCGATATGAGACACGCAGATCATTATAAGGTACTGCACTTTTAATACAATAAATGCCCTCTTAATTTGTTTCTGTAGTTTTGGTTCCAGTATAAAAATTAAGAATTTTTCTTGTTAAATGTTTATCTTTCTGTGTGTGTGGGATGTTTTTGCAGATCTATAACCTTTGTATTGAAGAAAATTATGATCCGTCTCATTTTTATGGTCGCGTGGAGTGGTTTCCTTTTGATGACAATCATGTTCCACCTCTTGACATGATGAAGCTCTTCTGTGAAAATGTGGATTCATGGCTATCGCACAATCCAAAGAACATTGCTGTTATACACTGCATGGTACGGATATATAGTAAGCCAGAACATATCTAATTTCTTAAGAGGTTTTGTTAACTTTGTTCAAGTGTCATATTTATATGTATTCGTAGTTTCAAAATTTAAATGTCCTTAACCCTAATTGATCTGTTGTTGTTTAATAATCATAATGTTTGTGTTTTTTGATCAATACGATTTTGCTGCAGGCAGGCAAAGGTCGAACAGGCTTAATGGTATGTGCCTACCTAGTCTACTGTGGGATCTCAGCAGAGGAAGCTCTTGAATTGTATGCTCAAAGGCGGACCATAAATAATGAAGGAGTAAGTCATATTAGGTATAATACAAACAATTTCTGACAGAATGCTAGTATAACATAATCTGTATGTACAATAATTACCAAATTAGAAAGCATCCCCTTCTCATCTTTAGTGACAGAATTAGAGTCTACGCGTTTCTTCCCGTTGAGAATTCTTGGAAGAAAAGGATGTGCAATTCCTTGCTGCCAATTTATCACTCTCTGATGATCATGTTTACACTAACAAGCACATTGTGGTTCATATCTACTCGAACAGGTCTCAATACCAAGCCAACGCCGTTATGTAGGATACTGGTCACATTGTCTTTCTTTTCATCCTGAAGTTGATGATGGACCTCCCTCTGTGAATTTACCTCCTCCATGTAGCAGAGAACTGCGAAGAATCCGATTTTATGACACAGTTAACATTGACAAAATCTTCTTTGTGGTCTTGGAGCTGCAAGAGGTATGCCATTTTTGCATGTTCTCATTACCTTGAATCTGCATGCTATGGTTTGCTTCAGCTCTTGATCAATGGTTACAGAATTTATCATTTCCTTTAAAGTTTGTGAAATTCTAATAACAATTGGATACTTATCAAGTTCTATGACCTCTGACCAAAAAAAAGAAAGTTCAAGTTCTATGACCAGTTACAAATCACAATGTACTATAATGTGGTTAGCTAGTCACCACTATTGAGCCAATCAGTTATAACCTTTTAGTATTGATCAATGAAAATGTCCTTTCTTAGCCATGTTATCTGTTTTTTCTTTTATGTCTACTGACAAGAAGCTTTTGAACCATGTGTTAACAGATTTCCGGTCAGATTTATCGTCCATCACTAGAAGTTGCTAGGAGCTCCTGCAAACAGATTAAGAAAGGATATCAGAGAACAAGCAGTCCTCGATATTATCTCTCTTTCATTGAAGGTGATGGGGCAGACAAGAAATCAGAACAAGAAGAGCCTCATGTTGTAGTTCAAATGGATACAGAAAGTTCCATCCTATACCAGAAGGCCTGTCTTGAATATTACTTTGATAAGCCTGTGCAGGTAAGGGATTGGTTCTTGCAGTTTTCATATATTGTGACATTTAAGAAGGAAACTAAAGAAGAAAACAATCTATTGTGGATGGTTCACAGTAAACTTTGTGGGGAAGGAATTATGAAATAGAATTTGAAGATCAAAACTTATTTGAAAGTTCACTTTTCCAATGATGTTATGTTTGTTTCTAAGTTTGTGAGCCTGTCCATTGTTTAATATACAATCTGAGAATGCATCATATTTGCTTGGAAAGGTAACTGGAGACATACGTGTCATATTTTATCAAAAAATGAATGGAGGGCGTCTCTTCTATGCTTGCTTTAACACAGCTTTCATCAGGAACAGCTTGCTACAGGTCTCAACTTCTTTCTCTTTGCAGCACTTTACTATAGTCCCGCATGTAAAATTAGAAATATGATTTCATCTTGTGTTGGTATTTTGAATCCCTACAGCTCACTGTGCCGGATTTGGATAAAATGGGGAAGAAAGGAAGATCGATATGTGGCCCTGCCTTCTGCTTGGAGTTGCTATTTGGTCCTGCCAATACTACACAATCATTCTTAAATACATCTGATAATCGTGATTTTCTATAAGTCTCAACACGGGATCGTTTAATAGGGGGAATGACTCTCATTCTGACTCACAAGCATTGATCCACTTGATAAAACCCTGCAGTGTTTCGGAACTGAAACAGTAGTCTACATACAAACAAAATCATTGTCCTCCTGCATTCTTGCCATCTAATTTTTCATTGGCAGAAAGAAAGCAATAGGAACAAGAAAAAGTTTTGTATCATAGTACTATCCAGAGCATTTTGCAGATGGTGATATATATATATATATATATATTAGTTCAGTTTGGCTTTCTTCTTTTCATTCTACTTATAGATTGACTTATGATCAATCAAATCAATCTGCAGCATTCTATCAACTTATGCTATGCATGTCACAGACAAATGGCCTAAGTAGAAGCATTTCTTCATAGAATTATAACTTGAGCATCAGTCTTCACTTCCTTTAGCTGTTGACAGACAAAAGGGCGACGTTTTTCAACCCAAGGTGAATCTGAAGCATCGTCATTGGTCCAACTCCACTCACCATCATAATAGAGTTTCCCAAATGGATCGATTACCATCTTGTCCAGCTTCGTCACCATTATCAGAACTCAGATGGCAAGCTCTACCTCTTACTAGTTACCTTGAACCATGTTGATAGTAACTCTTTTCAACTAATCATGCAAAAATCCAGAATCAATGTTCCTTATCTCCGGTTGGCCCTCGTAGAACTGCGGTCCCCACCTTGCCTGCAAAAATTTGTGCATTCAATTTGGTAGAATGAGATGAGAGATTAGTATTGAGAGAATCCCACAACACCAAAAGAATTGACAACAGAAATCATTTGCAACAGACTTGAAACAATCTAGTCACTGACCTTTATCGCAAGTTCTTGCAGAAGAGGTGTTGCCTTGAGAAACTTTAGAACCCACACGAGTTCATTGTCCTTGCTACTTTTTTCAGGCCCATGGACAACCAATTTCAGTTGCTTGAGGTTTCTAAATGTTGGTAAGCTTTCTGGTTGTTCCTTTACCTAAAAGAACATGAAAGTTATGGTTTTAAAAGGGATGCAAATATTGTCACGCAATATAACTATTTTGGAGCGTTAATAGCAGCTCTCTCATGCATTATCTAAAAATCAATCATCACTCACCAGATCATCCTCCAAGAGCAAATAAAGAGTCACGAGCTGAGGAGAGGATGCCAATCGGGTCAGTGCATGAGGGAATGCATTTTGTACCATGTGGTTATTAAAATATATTCTTGATAATCTTGGAGTTTTGATGGAAGAGATGTGATGAATATTTCCACTGTATTCAAGGGATGCATGATTTACTGCAGAAATCTTGATATTTGCTGGATCATTAAAACAGTTGAGCACTTTTAAATCATTTAAACGAATTGTTGGGCCATCAACAATCAGAGATGAGTCAATGCTGCAGCCAAGTAAGCTCAAGCTTTCAAGGAACAAACAAATAGAGAACATACTTGCCAGAAAAACTTCATCCACAGTGACCCTTTCCAGATAAAGAGTTCTTAATTGCATGAATCCGTCAAAATCAGGAGGAGGCCTTAGAACACATCCGCTCAACCTCAAATGCTTTAGAGTTGATGATGTGGCCAATTCTGATCAGAAAAAATAATAGTCGTTCATCCTCGAAGTACGAAATAAGTGAAGATCAAGCACTTCAACTCCCCTTAAAATTGCAAAACTAATCCATGCATTAAGGGTGTCAGCTGATTTAGCATCCGCTTTGAAAGAGTCTACCTTCTCACCACGGTACATGTTTCACAAAAATGTTAACTTTAGAATTTGGTGTGACATAATTTTTTCCAATAATGTTTGGAATATTGAATTCGAGGTCTCGTCTTGTTAGTATGTGATCCAACCAGAGCTGCCGGTGCCTCCACCGGCGGCAGATCATGCTTGTACCCGCTGCTTCTTTTATGGTTAAGAATGAAAGAACGCTTTCAGGAGGTTCATTCATCCAATCCTTGCTCTCAATCTCCGTTACCTATAAGAATATTCAAGAAAAGCTCAGCAAATATTACCCTTGATCATATATCCTAGAAGACATGATTAAGTGGTAAACATAGGTTTTGCACTTCCATTATTAGTAAGATTGACAGAAAAAAGTTTGACATGCATCCAAAAACAGATAAAAGCATCAAAAGATTGATTCGGCACGAGTATGTTTTGCCATCTCTTCTTGAACCTTACCTTAGGTAATATTCCACTTCAGTCCATTGGCCTGAGATAGTTGAAATCTTGTGGACGAAAAGATTGAAGTTGCAGAAGATGCAGGTGTAAAAACAGAGTTTTAGTCGTTTAGAGAGAGGTTGGGTTTTAGGAACACCTCTTCCTTTGATAAGAAAAACCCTTGCTGCATTACCCTAAGAGTGCATGGAGGTTTTGAGTTATGAATATATAGAGTCAAATTCAAGAATTTGATGATTTTGGGTATATCTAAAATTTAAACCACTAGATAAAATGCAAATTAATTTTGTTATAACATTTATTAGCCATAGAAAGCCATAATTATAACACTTAGTTACTGCATTAAGTAACATATAGAAGCTAAATTCTAACACTTATTTAGTTACTGAATCAAGTAAAGCAGAGGATCCAAATTCTAACACTTATTTAGTTCCTTCCTAATCATCAAAATCACCATCTTAATTATATTTCGTCCCTGTTGTTAACTTCCACCTCGATGTCGTCTGCCCACAGGAATACACGTTGACGTACGTATGGATGCACATCAACAGGAACGTTTATCTCCATATACGCCCCATGTGTTTTGAGTGCATCTTTAAATTCCTCGAAGTTTTGAGTTATAACCACCGGAGGAGGATCGTAGGGTGGATTTCGGGGATATCTGATGAAATCACTTCTTCCGGAACTTGCATTTTCAGCCTCAATGTTTTCCACGATGGCTAAGTAAGTTTCAGCTAAGAATGATCTAAGAACTTGGAATCTAATTGGCTTATCATCTCCAAAAGCCTCCCTAGCTTCATTCACTTCCTCTAGTGATGAAATCTCAACATTATGATATTTGCTCTGTTCCATTATTGGAAATTAAAGAAAAATAATTTATTTCTTCTTCTAGTACGAGCATCCACAATGAGGGGTGTATTTTCGGGAGTATAAAGCCACTTTTATATCCCCTTTACACCTCTGAGGGTTATAAATGTAGTTTTTGCTCCAATGAAAAATATGTAAATCTAAATATGTATAATTGATTTTTTTTTTGTCTTAATTTGTTTTTCTGTTAAATTTTTATTTTGTGTTAACTTTATAAAATTAATTTTTTGTGTATTAGGTTAATTTTATTTTTTCAAACAAATAAACCTAAAAACATTTAAATTAGGAGAAGATATGATTTCATCTAAAAAAAAATATTAAAGCTGGCTGTTTTTGAAAATTAAAGTTGTTGGTCTGGCAAGGTAGCCGTTTTGGGGAGGGGGAGATGACAACCAAAAAATGGGCTCACATATGAATTTTGGTCCAGCAACTTTTTTGCTGACTTTTCTCCACTTCATCTCATCTTTTCTTAGCTGAGTCCTAACTGCAAGAGATGTAAATAAAGATGTACATGTACATCTAAATTCTCATGGTGGTGATGCAAATTTACACTTGTTTACACCTTCCCATTGAAGATGATTCCGATCACAAAGAGTGTATATTTAATATACACCCTATTATATGCCCTCTATTATGGATGCTCTAAGTGTTTGAGAAGAGAAGCTACTTTGTATTTGCATTTCATGCTTTTATGGTGCATGGATGGGTCATTGACATGCGATGAAGTTTTTTATTTGTCGTGAGATTCAAGCCATTGATAACATAAGGCTCATTACATTTGGATGTGTTCACCGTTGGATGACAAGAAATTCGACCACAAGTGATTTGGCATCTTGATCTAGAAGCATTGTTCTGCTGTTAGAGTTTGCCTACACAGCAAAAAGCCCAACAACATATTAACAACTGAGATTAAATTTGTAATCAAAAGAGTATTGGATATATAAAAGTATCAAGGACCTCATGGTTGTCACTTATGGTTAAATATCAAGTGGCTATAAGGTCAAAGCCATGTCTTAAAGCTTACTATCAAGGTTTGAGAAGTTGATATTGGCCATAACCAATACCAAATTTGCAAAGGACTCATTGGAATAGTTGTTTGGAGCAATTGTTTCTTTAAGAAAGGTTATGGGTTTGAATCCTAACATCCGTGTTGTGCGTATGAATTTAATAAATTATCGCCTCCTCTGAATAAGAAAGATCATCAAATAAAAAAAAAAAACACCAAATTGTGTAACTAAGCAAAATAATGACTCATACAAAGAAAGTATAAAATTGATGATGTGTATTTCACATCATTCAGGACTCAAATTTGGTATTCTTAGCATTACTTATAATAAAATATAGAATAAGCATATGTGGGGCAATGCTAGTTGGTTAGGAAGTGAGTCCGATCCTTTGCACTCAAGTTTGAATACATTTTCTAGTACATTATATTAATTTAAATTATCACTTGTATAAAAAAATATATATAATAAGATTTTTAATTCGAGAATTCAATAAAAGTCCAAATCCGTTAACTTAACAAGTAGAAAATAGAGTTTTTTTTCTTCCAATGAAATAGAGTTTGATCGAAATCCAATAATAATTGGATGTGACTCAATGTAATATATAGTTGCTTATTGTATAAATTTAAAAGTAAATATATACAATAAAATAAGGAAATTACTGATCAGTTATTCGGTCGGATCATTATTGAGTATGGTTTGGTCTGAAAGTTGAGTTCAATGATCTGACAAAAAAGAAAGAAAAGAATAATACTACTCTTACTATATTTTTTATACCACATGATGTGGTAATTGATGTGTACATACCACATCATGTAAAATATTAGTTTCTATTTTTCTAATTTTATTTATTAAAATACACTTCATTCATTTAATTGATGTGACATATGATATGGACATACTACATCATGTGGTAAATGTAGTATTACTAAAAAAAAAAAATGCAATACAATTATGAATGGATTCGGATTAGGTTGACCCGCCCCGAATTCAGTCCTTTACATAGTGCTACGAAAAAACAACCGGGTCCAGAGGTGAACCGGTACCGGTTTACCGAGCTATTCCTACTTCTCTTCCAAGTTCATGTTTTGGTCGGACTAAGTTTGTTCTGCCTAAAGTAACTCCTAAGTCGTCCCAAATTGTTCTAAGTCGCAGACCATCAAAACCTCTGTGTTGTTGTTTCACAATGGCCCCTGCTCCCATCTGTTTCTCTCACTAAAAACTCTAGCTTGTTCTTCCATCATCACAATAAAGCCAAAATCCAGATACCCATCTGTTTGTTTCTCGGGAAAATTCCACAGGGAGAGAGCCCAGATTGGTATATCTTCCATTCTAGAGAAGAAAAAATGGCGACGCCGAAACCCCAGAGGTCCCGGGAGGAGTTGGAGGACATAGTCCTCCGGAAAATCTTTCTCGTATCGCTGACCGATTCCTCCGAATCCGATTCCCGAATCGTTTACTTGGAGATGACTGCAGCAGAGATTCTGAGCGAGGGCAAAGAGTTGAGGCTCACTCGGGACCTCATGGAATCGATTCTAATTGATCGGCTTTCGGGCGATTTTGC